GATTGCAATGTATTCCCATCTGCGGCGGGATTTGACGCTCATGGAAGCACGGCATTCGTTTGTGTCGGCTGCCCTTAAAGGCAATGTTCCATTCCCATTGGATAACGGAGAATTGTACACCAGGAAGTAAGTATTCCCCTTACTGTCGATTGATTTTACAGTGATATCTCCACTACTCATCGACTACAAAACACCAGATTATCCTTGTTAATTACACAACATTGATTGGTTTAAATTGTGTGCAATGCTTTTGTATTTTTCCCCTTCGATTCGGAGAAACAAATATTTTTTCGGAGTAAAGGATGGCAGAAGACACTACACAGAATCCCCAGCTATCGTTTAGGACTACACCATGTGCTCTGTTTGACAAACCCCGTGATTAGTTCTCAAGCTCTGTGATTGGTTGACCTCCAACTGCATTCCATATGAAAAAGATAAAATCATACTTTATTCAGCAGTGCTTGCTTTACTCTTTGAAAGTCATCACATGAATGCATTGTAATAAATGGTTCGGCTGCATTAAATATATTACACATCTGTCGTAGTTCTTTATTTTTATTTATCTACAGAGATCGGGCTCAGAATAGACCGGGAACGATTCTTTTACCGTTCAGTTTGAATTTCACAATAAAGTTAGTAGTAATATTTTGTTTTGATATGATTGTTTTTTATTAACTATTAGACCGCTGGGTCATGTTAAGAAAATCTTTTCTGTGTTGCTGTGGGTTTTTACCATCGCTTTTGTTTTACAAATATCAAAACAATAACTAAATATATCCGTCGTAAACTAAACCAGAAACAGCAGTATATTTTATTTATCTTGTCTTTTGATAGAAGAGAGGAATGAACTTCTTGATGTGGCTCTCGAGTTGCTACGAGAATGAGTCGAGGACCTGGTGACATGAGAGCCATTACTTCTCTTAACAGAGGCAACAGATTTGCATAGACTCTGTCTGGTTTTTTACCAATTTCTTCTTCTTCATGACTTTTGTCCTTTCTTGTGTCCATTCGTTCTCTTGCAGTCTCAATGATTGTCTTTGTAACTGCTTCACAGGTGTCTTCTCTGCGACCATACTTGTCAACCCTCCCGATTTTCGCGGGAGACTCCCGATTTCATTGCCCTCTCCCGGTTTCCTCCCGGGGTCATATTTCTCCCGCATTTCTCCCGATTTCTGACAAAATCAGATTTACACACGACTGTTTCCACACAGACTTTAATACAGCTACACCATTGTTTGGTTTCCATGGTAACACGTCTCTTTAGTAGCGCGCGCAACTCAAAGTCTGAGAGGGTGAGGCAGATAGTCACAGAAAACAGAACAAGAATCGACAACTACCTACTCTCTGCTTACTCCTTTCCTGTAAAATACAGGTCCAGCCCACACATATGCTCCATCAAGGACGGTGCTACAGGCCGCAAGGCAGTGCACTTACAACTACAATAAGCATGTTAATGTTAATCTAAAAGCCCCGGTTTCCGTAGTTTTCCTGCGTTGCTCTGCCTTTGCAACTATCCAGTGCGTCGATTAAACAGGTGTAACAGAAAACACAGCAGATTTGTTCCGCCTCTAAATGTTGCACATAAAAAGGTAGTAACCAAAAAATACAACGTGGGAACAAATGAATACAGAAAGTGAAGACAGTTACACAACATAACAGAAATAATATCGATAGCAGCGTCCCTAGCAACCACCTTGGTAACAATGAAAACGTTTAAGGACGCAATTTCCTGAAGTAATCTTCGTAATAACTAGCAAACTAAAGATCATGTACATCCACTGCACACATAATCTGAAATAACAACTCATATTTCTTGCATCAAATGACAACAAAACGCATTTTAAAGGCCAAACTAACTTTAAAATAGGCATTTTCCACCGAGAATAAAACGAAGATCGGCCATGTTTTTTTTTTCTGCAGGGAGAAATTTGAAGATCACGTGACATAGACGCCAGCCATTGGAATGAATGGTGAAAAAAAACGGGGTTTGTCAAACAGAGCACATGGTGTAGTCATAAACGATAGCTGGGGATTCTGGGTAGTGTAGTGTCTTCTGCCATCCTTTACTCCGAAAAAATATTTTTTTCTCCGAATCGAAGGGGAAAAATACAAAAGCATTGCACACAATTTAAACCAATCAATGTTGTGTAATTAACAAGGATAATCTGGTGTTTTTTAGTCGATGAATAGTGCAGATATCACTGTAAAATCAATCGACAGTAAGGGGAATACTTACTTCCTGGTGTACAATTCTCCGTTATCCAATGGGAATGGACGCTCACATTGCCTTTTAAGGGCAGCCGACACAAACGAATTCCGTGCTTCCATGAGCGTCAAATCCCGCCGCAGATGGGAATACATTGCAATCAGTTGAAAGCTATTTGCGTCCCTTTATGAAGCTGAAGGAGCCTAGGAGCGTCACAACTGCACGCCACGGGACCCTGACCAAACGTCGCTCCTTGACGATTATGGAGTGAGAGTGTGTTGCAAAAGCAAGCAGAAGGCACTGAAAGGTACTTTTTTTTTGTACAAACAAAACTTGGCATTGTACATAAACCATGTTCTTTAAGTGCACACACACTCACCTTTCTAAAAAAGGTGACAAATGGTATACACCTTGTGGAAAATGATTCCCCCTGTTTATCTAAAGGCTAACTGATGCTTTTATTTGCTTTGTATTTCAAAGTAACATCCCCCACAAACGCCCCACACTATTTTCTGACTAACTCTGAGCTGGCAGGCAATGTCGTTTTTGTTAAAAAGACGTAAGAAAGTGGAGAGTGGGCTGATAGCAGAGGAAGGATAACAGCGTCACAGGGTGAGAAATAGTAGTCGGGAATTTATTTCTGGGCACTTGCCCAACTGGGCCAAATTCTGACCTCTATTCCAGTCAATATCAGCATTATTTCTGCCTGCAGGACAGCAGGCAATCTACTGTTAAACCCTGCATTATTTTTCATAGACTCTTATCACTCCTTGTGTAGTAAAGCTTTAAGTTTCCCCACTCCTCTCCTCCCACTGTATTATCTCTCCTCTGAGTGTACTGACACCCAGTCAGCAGGACAGCTAATAGGGTTGTAAGCAGTTAACAGGGCTGTGAAGCTCCTGTCGGGAACATTAACATGGCAACACCACAACAATGAAGTGTTATCAGCTTCGCCATGGCAGCATACAGACCTTTCGTGAGTGGGTCTGTTGTTGTGTTAGTGGGATTTTGGAAGAATATTAATTAACAGAATGAAAGGGAATGCTGCTATATTACAAGCATGCTGCTGCTGATGCTTTTCCCCTTTCGTCAGAAACCTATTTGCAAACTGAAAGCTAGCACAGCCTTAATCATTGCAATTAAATATAAATTCTCAAGCTGTCATAGAATTTGAAATGATAATGTTTGAAATGCCATAATTACACTAATACATAACCTGACATGAGGGAAACATCTAGCGGTTTTGTTAGTAAACATCTCTCTGGCATATTTTTAGAGAAGCAGCTCGGGAAGCTTCTCCATGTTGTTCTGTCAGCGGGAGAGGGAAATTGCTTATCACAGTGAGTTGGCAAACAACCGCAAACATGAACCTGCAAGGGACAAATAAACAAGGCACTGGGAAAAACTTTTTGGGTGTAAAATCCCAGCGCTGGTTTGTATTACACCAGTTAAATGAAGTGTCAGGGAAGAGGAGAAAAGGCTCGTGGCTCAGCCAGCAGTCGGTGCCGCTCGGTAATTTACAGGTCCACCAGCGAGAGCTTAACCAGCAAGAGTTGTACGAGTACTTACATCTGTGAAATGAACTCCAGATCGGCTGTATGAGCCGCCGGTGGATGTGTGATGTGTTCCTGTTGACTTTACTGCAGGGTTTTCATCTATGGGGATCTTAATGTGTTTGCTTTTCTATGCAAGTCTTAGGCCATGGCAGATAACTATAAGCCTGAGGTTTTGTATGGCAGCTGGCAGCATTTGTAATGGTAGGTCGGAGAATATTCAACATTTTCATGGCTCAGAACTAATGTCTGATTTTGTACTTAAGGCATTGTTACATGGATACTGCTTTATCCCTTTGTGTATTGTGTGTCAAAGTTTCACTCAGGTCAGCTCTTGTGTTTATAAAACTTCTAAGAGTTACACAGAAAAGAGTTAACTTAGGAGCGAGAAAGTTTTCCAGTGTGAGGAATAAAGCTTTTATCAAGAGACTAACTTCTACTCAAAGGGAAGTTTAGGGTCGAGATTCAAAGTGTGAGTGATGATTAATCACATGTGCAATCAGAGCAGGATTAGCCAATCAGAGACAATGATTAACCATGCATCTGCTCTACTTATTATTAAAAACAAATTAAAAGTAATTTACATTTTCTTTTTTTTATTTAAATTGTGAAAAATCCTTAATATCCTCAGCATTTACATATTGAATGAGGGATGACCATACTAACTTCAGAAGTCACTTTCTATGAGTTTTGTTTTTTAATTCAAATAAATTAAACAGCTTTTATGTTTATGTTGAATGTTAAGTGTTTAGAGATAGTACAGAGTGCCTTTGCTAGTCTTTGTGTCTGTACGTGTGTGTGACAGCATTGTCAGTCAGAGCAGCTGCCACCTTTTCAGAAGAGGTCATAGGTCACTGAGACAGGATGTGCCAAGAGGCCAGACTTTTGAAAGTCTCTGAGGTAGTTGAGTAAAAAACTGGAATGAAAGGAATGTATTGTAAATGACAGCGTGTTAAAAGTCAATATGGAGTCAGACTGATAGCAGGGTCACAGCAGCCTCTCCTCTCTCCTGTGACAGAAAGGAAATGAGAGTGGAGAGAACAAAGCACTTATGTCAATAAAGTATACGATTTCCTCAGGAAAGAAAGCCAAAGATCTGACACCTTAAATGTAATGCCGAGCAATCCTTTAACCCATCTAGATTGATGCGTGATCTTTTTTGCAGTACCAGGGAATTGTAAATCTCACTCTTTTGTGTGTCCCTCTCTGCAGACGCCAACATGAACATGGCTCCTAACTCCATGACGATGCCCATGTCAGACCCCAGCGTCTGGGCACAAGCCATGAGCAGCCTGGGGATGCCTCCGCTAAACATGATGGGACAGCAGCTGATGCCAGGTACCACGGAAAATATGTTACATGCTGCCACTGGTCACACAGTGACAGTGGCAGTGACAGTGACAGTGGCAGCACACTTTAGTACAGTCAATATTGATTTCGGAATTTTGTTCCCACAGCCAATACAAAATAAACTTCTTAGTTCTATGTTAAAAAGGTTTGGTTACAAGATATACTGTAAATAAGGTGTAGCTTTCCCTCACTTAGAGGTGGGAGAAACTATTCGCCTAAAAGTTACAGTATCTTTTTAAGTCGCGGCCCTGAATCCACAGACACGCAGGGAAGAATTATGTGTAGGAGCCGAGGACATATGAGTAACAGCGTTTCCTCCCCCTCCGCTGCCCTCAAAGTGCCCTTGAGCAAGCCTGTGAGCATCAACACTGAGAAGTTGTACTCATCGCAGCAGGCAGCTCCCGATGCGTCAGTGTTTGAATGTCTGGAGCTTCCCCTCCTCTGCTTCTACTCCCCCAGGCAGTTATAATTAAGGGTGTGCGGTTAACTCATGTCCCTGTTTAAGTAAATGCTTGAAAATGCTAAGTGTGTCCACAGGATCACACTGTGTGTATGTTTTTATACCTGTGTGGAGGCAGTAAGGCATCCTTGCATGACTGTACAAGTGGAGCTCAGGATTTTACAGTGTATGTGTTCACTTCTTTAAGGAGTTCCCTCGTTGTTCCACTCGTCACAGAAGAGTTAGTAATCCTCCTCCTGCTCCCACTGGGTTCATTACTTTCCTCTGAGCACATACATGCACGTTTTAGTGTAGGTGGCAGATTTATGCAGTTTTGGAAATTATCATAAAAATTGAAAGGAGGAAGAAAGAGATAGCCCGCCTCTGTTCAACAGAAACACAATCCACCTACTTCTATGTTGGCAAGGTGCAGTGATACCACACTGCTCCCACTAAAGACACATTATTGTATGAACCACATGAATCAAATCAATAAACACTTATATAATAATATATTAATAATAATAATAATAATATTCAATAATTGTAATAATAACGTTGTTTTTTTGTATGGCACTTTTCCTAAACAGGGGCAGCTCAAAATCAGAAAACTAAAAATGGTATTCAGTCAAAAGTCAAAACCCTTTTTCTACACATACGTTCATGATAAAATATAAAAAAATCAAGTAAAAAAATAACTAAAATAGGAAAAATAATAATACAATTAAAAAAATAACAACAATTTATAATAGATTATTTATTATATCATTTATAATTCAGTCATTCACATGGTGGTTATGTGTATTCCACAGATCAATTTAATTGTTTAAATCATTTTAGGAAAACTGTTTAAATATGGATGGTCAACAGAGAAGTTGAATCTTCAGTAGACATGAATCATCCCATGTTTGATTCTCACAGTAACTTGGAACATGTTAGTCTGACTGCCCCCTCTAAACCACTGCAGCTGTGTAATAATAATAACCTCACAGTATCAGTAGATTTGCATTTTAACTTATATATATATATGTATTTTGAACAACAAACTAAAGCACACATTTAGCCTTTTGCTTAGCTGTGAGGGTCCATAAGGGTCCACGTGATGTAAATTCAGTCATCCGTCCATGTTTGCAACAGCTCACAAATAGATGTTTGCGACAGCTCACACAGACATCTTTGCACATGTCTAGCTGCTGCTATTACATTTATGAACGCACCAACTGTGTATAGAACGTCCTGTCATGTGGACACCAAATGTGCAATAAATACAATCACATCCACTGCTGGTTGTTTGGATTATGTTATTATATGGTTTTAAGAAGCTTTAATAACATATAGATTGAAGACTTGTTGTAAAAATACATTATTTTGTTATTAATCATCATGGCTTCATCTTCCTATTAAATGAATGGCTTGTTTTCATTCAGACAAAAAGTGAGTTTTCCATTATGGCTCCTTACTGCTTCATTCAGACACAAGGTTATGCAAAAAAGATCAAACTCATGTGATATTTGGCCCCTGGTGCACGAGATGGAGATGGAGAGGGAGAGTTCAAAATGTTATGAAAGCGCTTTCACAGGCTGCATCACTAATGGATTTTTAAAACTGGTTTTGCATTTCGCCATTGAAACCTTAATAAATAACCAGGCAAAGCCCAGGGGACCCTCATCCCTGCTTCTCATAACAAGACCACTGATTAATTTCTTCTCCATAATTTAACGTTATTAGACAGCGAATTATTGTGCTCGTTTTATAACATCCGACAGTGCAAACACATTAAATGACAGGACTCTAAGTGGGATTCTTGTTGAATTCCTATTAGCTGTATCTAAATTGTTTGCAGGATTATTTATGTGTTCATCTATAAATGGGCATGAATGGTTGGCAATATTATGAATCTGGTTGTACGAGGGTCTAATTTAACCTCTTTTGCTCAAGTCCTTCTTCAACAGCAACATTTCATAGACGTGAAGAAAAATGAGATATATCTTCTTAACATCTTAAAACCGGCCCTTTTTCAGCAGTTTATTAAATGTATTTTATTTTCTCCGAGCCTAACAGATGAATATTGAGGGTGTGTTAGTTGGTATGATATAGTGTTGAAATCCGACGTTGGTATTTTAATTTGATTATTGGCAAGATTCAAAATCCAATTAAAATAGATACACTGAGCTGACTTTGAGAGATGGAGTCATGTCTCTACGCCTATGTCAGAATCACTCACATGCACACACTCAAACATGCACACACTCAAACATGCACAGAACAATGGCTCAGTAATAAAGGGGCCAACTTCCTGTTTGTTCAAAAATGCTCAATCTTTGATTATATAATGGTGATTAACTGCATGCAAACTTGCAAAACAAACAAAGCTCTAACCTTTCTGCTAATCTTTCCAACTGACTGCCATGTCTACTTAAATATTACACAACATGGTAGCTTTCTGTCTGAGTTAGAGAGATCTTTGCCACCATCAAAGATGTTCTCATATTACATTACATGTCATTTGTTAGACGCTTTTATCCAAAGTGACTTACATACATTCAGTACTGTGGACAATCCAAGTGTCTTGCCCCGGGACACAACGACATGCTGACTGCAGTGGGACTCGAACTTGCTATCCTCTGATTCAAAGTCCAGCACACTATCCACTGAGCCACAGCCGCCGTCATATTAGAGTTAATGAGGGTTAAGTTTACAAAAGATTGCTATAAAAATAGTCAGAACATTCAACATTGAAACTGGATTCCTCCCTGCTGTTACACATCTTTTTTTTCACATCTCATGAGCATAATGAACAAATATAACCATGCAGAGAGCTGTGTCATTGATATGTCCTTAAGAGAGCGCACCATTCAAAAATAAATTGGGCTCAGGCGACACAGACTTATAACACCTCATTCAAATTACTTTCAGAACGCTGGATAAATATTTTAGAGCCAAGAGCATAGAGATTAATGAAGCATTGGCGCGTGTTTCCATCTGTTTATTATTTTCCAATGTCATTACAACCTCGGAGAGCACTTCATTGTTAATTATCTGCATTGAGAACATCACATTCAGACTTGCCAATTCCACTTTCCATTTATAACACACAGTTAGGGTCCACCGTTCCACTTTCTATCTGTGTTTACTTCCTATCTTTGGCACATAGTATCTGCTTCTCATTCAAGTGTTCACATACATGCATATGGAAGTTATTCAAATCCATATTTAAGACAAATGGTTGTGGAAGTTGCCGCACTTTACTACTGCGGTTCACCTATTCCATTTCATTTGGTGGTATTTACTGCTCTCACTCTCTGCTAGCTCTCCTTTCAAGAGTATCATAAACATTACCGACAGAGTAGGGAGCTCTGTGTGATGGAGATGGAGGGAAACACTCTCGCATGCACCCACGCGCAGAGAGGGAGAGGTGTGTGTGGGGGATTTGATCTGTGGGGAAAACAATGGATAAGCCTTTAGTCGCGGTAATATATCTTCATTTAAAGTCGTTTTGCCGAAGCAGTTTCTGAAGGGTGGAGTGGAGAGGACAGAAGGGAGGAGAAGGAGATGGAGGGGAAGGAGGGTCGGGTGAAGAGGACAGCTGTGGCTCCCCTCATGGATCATCTGGAAAAGCAGCTGGTGCTTCCCTACCTTTTCCTCTTCCGTCCTCCCCCTCTCCGTCCCTATTCCCTCTCCCTCCCTCCCTCCCTCCCCCGCCCTCACTATCTCTTTCTCCCTCACCAGCCCCAAATTACCCAACATCTTCATTAATGTCTCATTACAGCTGAGTCAGCCACTGTAACCCACAGCCACACATTGCTTATTGGCTTTTTGGAGAGCGAAAAGCTTTTACAGTTCTTCTTTACTCAGTCACACTGAAAAACTCAAACTAAATATGCGACTAAGTGGATTTTGCTGAAAACTGAGCACATATAAATTCAAGGAATTTACAAATGAACAGTACCTCACTCTTAATCCTTAAAATCTATTCACTTATCACCTAAATAACTTGGACTAGAATAAACGTTTTAAACACATTTAGTTCAAACGGTTGAAACATCACCATCATCTTTTGAGTTATCACTAATTCTGTTAGTTTCTATTATATGATGTGCTTATAAGGATATCAGGGGAGGTACTTTTGTCTGAACTGAGCTCAGAATGATCCATCTTCAGACAGACAAACAGACAGGATGGACATAATTCTGTTTGAAGTACTTCTACCACTTGTTTGTCTTTCTCTCCACTCCTACCATCTCGGTCTGCCTCTCTTCCTTTAACCATTTATGAAGCGGAAACCTCAGGTCAATCAGAGCTGACTGCTAAGTGCAGTAGGACTCTGCGTCTACCATCCCTGTTCTGCCTGCACTCAAACCGGCGACCTGAGAGCAGTAAACCTGCCCTCTGCTGAACTCCATCCATAATCCATAGGTTCAGTAGACTCTGGCAGGAGATGACGGCCATATTTCCAGTCTGTTAGCTCTGAACCTTTTGAGCCACTCAGAACATACTCAGCACACGCAAATTCATGCCGCCCACACTCTCACACACACAAGGCAGAGAT